CTTCTCAGCTGAAGCCAAATTCTTCCCCTGAGAATTGTGTATTTTTACTATCAAACTTCTCATTTACTTCTTCATACTATGTTCATGCAAGGAATCATGCTTCTTTGTGTTACTTGTGATCGTTAATGCACATCTTTCATCAAAAGATTCAAATGGTTAATAGATGTCTTCTGTGAATTCACTATCCTTTTTCTCCTTTCCTGTTGCTACAACAGTGTAGTTTCACCTCTTCCAGCAGCATCCTTTATTTCATCCTTAACAACTGTGTACGCGTACCTTAATTTTTTCTTAGTTACAGTATCCCCTCTATCCAGTTCTTGACTAAGAAAATCTGTATCTCAATCAAATCTTGTTCTTGAGAGCCATCTCCTCAGAGCGCTCAGCAGAAACGATCTTCTGCTTCTTGGTTATTGCCTCACTAAATCACTGCATCCTTTGATTTAACTTTGCTTTCAATTCTGTTTGTGTTGCAATTCATAATTTTCATCAAGATCACTATCTTCTTCAGACACATGCTCTTGGCTTCATTAGCTCCACATTTCCATGTAAAGTCTTCTTGTTGACCATCACCTTCAAGCAGGACATGTTTCTTCGTTTCGATCACTTCACCTGTGGAGACTCCAGGAACTATGGTATCAAGGATGATTTTGCCGAGAAGGAACCTTGTCTTCACGCACGTGTCCTTTCCCAAGAGAATCGTAATCTATCTTGAAATTCTTCTTACTGGTTTTGAAAGATGTAACATCTTTGACCAGGATGTCAAACTATAAGCTCGAAATCTTTGCCCATTCTCATTGACACAAAAGACCTGCACCAGACATCCAAACTCATTGCTAACAAAAGAGCAATTACCATTCTTGTAGCCGATTAAACACTTTTCAAGTAAGAGACACGAGAATTAAAGTCTATGATCTGGTTTTCTTTTTTTTCCATTTTGTATTCAAATCAAGAAAAATCATGTTATATATCATATTAGGATTTACTATATGGACAAGCTGAATGGTTTTCCAATGAATTTATTAGGTCCGTTTTTGATGGAGGGCAAGCTATAGCATTTATTCCAAGTGAACTAAGTCTTAAGTTTACAAAAGGTAGATGCAAGTACCATGTTGTTTACGAGTAAATGAACACCGTTACATCAGGTTCAGAGAAACAGGGGATAATCACCTCCTTGTGAGTATAATGAGCTCGCTCTCAGGTTAGGAAATCGTGATGCATGCCTTTAAATAAAGAGCTATTTAAAATGTACTTAATCCTTTCCTGTCCATAGCACGCACTGCAAAAGGTTTAGAAAGAGTCTTTGTCTTGTTGTATGAAGCATTAAGTAATTCAAGGCAAGTATTACGAATGGTTGACTTTTTTCTTAGGGAAATCATATCTACAACCTCTAGACCTACAATGTCGGTCCTATCGTTTCATAATGCTAGGTTTCCACAGATTAACAAAAAGACTTGACCAAGAGATTTATTAAGTCATAGATTTCAAGTCATTCACCCATTCCCTGCTGTAATGGAAACCAACAGGAAACATTGTTTCGCAAACACAGGATTCTTAGAAACTGGAGCGTTCTCCTCCACATTTTATATGACAAGGCTGCTATTGAGAGACAACTGGACTAACTCTCTGATCAAAAGCTGATTTATATATTTATCAACAGAAATTCCAGATGGATTATATATCAGACATTTTCATCATATTACTATTGAAAGAGGATTAACGCAGCTTCTACTTTCAGATAGAAATTAGCCTATTTGACTCTTGGATGAACAGCATGACTAGCTGGAGGACTCTCATAAAAGTCAAGCATAACCGCATAGCGTGTCAAATAAAGTGAAATGACAAGACTGACAAACAGCTTGGTGTAAGCAACAGTTAGATGTAAAATCAAAGTACGTTTACCACCAAACAGAGCATGGGCTCCTGGGAACTTGGACATTGCTTCCAGGAGGCTGTCCCGTCAGTTAAAATGTTTATAGATTTTTGGACTTTCATGCCAGCTGTGCAAGTCTTTCTGCAAGTTTATTCATCTGAAATGGAGACTTGAGAATCAGAGACTTCAGGTGCATCATAGCTCAGCTTCGAATGCTTCTCTGCAAATTTAACACTTCTTCCAAATTTCCGTGATACAATACAGAAGCAAAGTCAGGATGACAAGTGCATGTTGAGTGATGAGTGATCAATGCCAGATGAAACGCAAGAGTGAAACCTGTCATGCACATCATTGAAAAGAAACATGTCAAGTATCAAAGTCATAACAAGCCAGTTCTCACAACACTTGTGAGGTTAACAATTCATCTAATAGACGACATGTCAAAAAAGTGATAGTAAGTGATCAAAAAGAGTAGTAAATTCCACTACTGCGACAGTAGGCAGCCAGACTATGAGCTGCAACATCTGCTGTGAAATAGAGTTAGAAACATGTACTTCCGAAGAATTTGCATGCAGACTGCAGCATATGAGAAAATTGAACTATGGATACTCAGAGGTAAAATGTCAAACAACGAATCTACATGATGAACATGCAGCATGTAGAAATTTCTTCAAATCTGTAAATGTTTAAAATGCCTCTAATTTGCAATTTTAAACAAATAATGAAGGAGCGACATAGTGATGATGCCAACTTAGGCTTTTAAAGTCGGAAGGATGCTTCTAATGCAGTCAGTGTCGAAATTAAAATCAAAATATGACAAAGACAGGAAGATGCTTGTTTTTTCTGTTCACAGTGCTGCATTACCTCTCACTATGGAAAATTCAGTAGTAGAAGAAGCTTCTATGACTCCTTTACAGATTTAATATTGTGTGTTCCTGTGGAGACCTTCTAATACCTTTCTCTCTACCTTTTGGTGTTAGCTTTCTTCTTTTTTTTTTTGTGGTTTAGGATGTCTTGTTTAGCTTTCACGTGGCTAATGCATTTGTTATTTCATGGTCAGGCGAAATTCAAAGTAGTTCCTACGGTTAGGGAGCTTACACTTGTCCTCCTTTGCGAAATTCAAAGTAGAAAGAAGCTTCTATGACTCCTTTACAGCATTTAATATTGTTGTCCTGTGGAGAGACCTTTCTATACTTCTCTCTTACCTTTTTTGGTGTAGCTTTCTTCTTTTTTTTTTTTGTGGTTTAGGATGTCTTGTTTTAAGCTTTCACGTGGCTAATGCCATTTGTTATTTACATGGATCAGGCGAAATTCAAAGTAGTTCCTACGGTTAGGGAGCTTACACTTGTCCTCCTTTGCCAAGGAATAGCCATATAATTTCAGTGACTCGATGATTAGGATTGAAAACTTGTTTAGTTCTTTTTTTTTCATCGGACTTGTTTAGTTCAAAGCATACAAAGATTAAGTATGACTACTCGTTTAGTTCGAAGCATACATAACAATCAAAGAGAGACTGCAAGGTCTCTTAGCTTAACAGGGCAGGGTTTCAGCTTAGTCAATTTAGAAAATTTTCCTATCACATCAGCACTTGAGACAAGCTAAATAATAGCTCTTTGTTAATACTGCTGCAAGGTACTATGATAGAGTTAATGGACCTTCTAATTAGACAAGTCTAGAGAGAACATATATCAAATTACAGCTCTGAAAGCAGCAGTAGATGCATAATATCCAAAGATGAAGACCATCTCTCTCAGGCCTCAGGAGGGAAGTGTCAGTAAAGGACAGAGAGGGGTCCTAGAAGCAAAAGCCTCGTGGAGATAAAAGATTAGGGGTGGCAAATGGGGGGTCAAGATGGGTTAGGTCAATAAATGGGTCATTGTCAACCCAGCCCAAAGCGAACTTGGGCTAGACGGGCTGGTCAAGATGGGCTAAAAATGGGTCATAGCCAACCCGTCCAACTTGACCCATGTTTTAGAACCCTGCTCATCTTGCATAAACAAGCCTTTTACCTTTTATACACCTATGTATAAAAGGTAAATAAATACTATTGATTTTTGAGAATCAAATATATTTTCTTAAATAACAAATTAGTATTTTAAATATGTAAGTTGAAAAACATTTGCGGGTGGGGGATGGGGGGTTGGGTTGGGTGGTGGTACAAAAAAACGAAAAAGGAGAACCAGAAAATTGAAAAAAAAAAGGTAAAAAAAAAAATTAAGGGGTTTGCGGGCTTCCATATTTAATGTTCCAATCAAGGGTTCGACCAATTGATATGTTTCACAAATAATTGAAATAATTTCTCTGGTACGAAATGGGGCCACTTCAAATAGGGTTCCATTGCTCCGGACCAGATACGGAGTAAGGGATTTTTCGGGGGGGGGGGGGGTGTGTAGCATTAATCTATGTCATGCATTATTAGTGATGAACGAATGAAAAATAGAAGAATTAATACTAAACATCTTTGACGTGTGTGTGTGTGTGTGTGTGTGTGTGTGTGTGTGTGTGTGTGTGTCAAAAAACAAAAAATTGAAGATACAAAAAAAAGTAAAAAAGAATTTGTAGGGTGGGTGGGTGGTGCAGAAAAACGAAAAAACAGAAAATTGAAAATACAAAAAGAAAGGAAGTAAAATTGGGGCAACTAAGTAAATTTCTAGATAAGCTGGGTTGAGATCCCTTTGTTTTGGGTGAGCTTCATGGGTTGTATTTGAGCTAGTTCATGGGTCAGAATGGGCTATAAAAAATAATATGTTAAGTAGGGCTCAGCCCAAATAGACCCATGAGCTAAAATGTTTGTAGCCCAACCCATTAATCTCTGGGCGGGTTGGATGGATTTGGGCTCAAATTGTCACCCCTAAAAAGAATCCAATCAACATATCTGAATCAGACCTCAGAATAAAAACGAAAAGAACTCTGACTAATGATAAAGCTGCAGCAATGTCATGTCACGGGCACAATATTACATGTCACTAATTATTACAGGTGAGAAATGGGCACAATATTATATGTCACTAATTACTGGAAGGGTGACAAAACAATCAAATGCCAAAAATGAGACGCAAAAATCCTCACCAAAAAGCATGTCATAAGACCAAGTGCTTTATTTGAACCCAAATAATTTATATCAACTCACCACACGCTATCATGCGAAGGTTGACCGCAGGTGACAAATTGATCCAAGCTGGAAAATAGTTTCTGAAGAAAGCTGCGACTTATAAATTATATGCTTAAAACACAAGTAAAAACCAACAAAAAATTAAATTTAGAAAATGAATATGCCCACACGCGCATGCACCATACACAGGAAAGAGCTGGTCTTAGAAATATTTATAGGAGCAACCAGAAGCTGTTACATGAAATTATAAGATGTAGACAACCCAGGAAGAGTTGATATCAATTAAGTGTTGGAGCAGGTATAAGGACTAATAAATTTTTTAAAGAGGAAGAAAGAGATGCAGCAAGAAAGAGCATACCATCAGCATCACAGAACTGTCACCCAATTGTTTGCAAGCCTGTTGAGCAAGGTATGCTCCCTGTAAATGATACACATGCACATTAGGCTATTTCCACCATTCTAAGGTGTATCATTTCGTCAACAAGCCAAAATGAGATGCAGCAATATGGACATACATGAAATGGCAACACAATCTCAAGTATATTGTATCTCTGAAGTAAAGAAAGAGAAGGCGCCGCAGCCCCATATGACATCATATAATTTAGTTCCATCCTTATTCTGGCCTGCAAAAAAAAAGAGAAAAATTAGTGAGCATGTAGCATATGACATAGAGAGTTCCCTTAAAAGAGTAGGAGCTTTTTAAGTTTCAGGGATGTCCAACAATGAAAAGGGACAAATAGGAAAGAGAAAGCCGTTTGAGAAAAGATGATGTGAATTACTAAGCCAGATAAATGGCTTATCCGAAAATCATTGTATACCTTGGACAAGCTCATGATGGATGATGAGAATTCATCCATCCAATCTTCTATCTCCTTTGTAAAGGATAAGTTAAGACGAGCAGCCAATCTCAAGCCGCGCAAAATTCTTGCTGAGAAAAAAGAAAAGCCAAGATTAGTTCCATCACATTAACTATTAGGGTTAAATTCATGTAATCCCCGTCTATTCCTGAATTCAACAATGTCAACCCCATTCTACTTTTAGTTACACTTAATCCCAAGCTTTCTTAACTCCACATTTTGCCAAATTGATTAGCAGTAAAGCAGTAAAACCCCTTCTGTTCTTTTCTAACAAGGAGAATGGCTGTAAACTCTTCAAACCTCATGGTACCCCATGTTTATACCTTGTGTTCCACCTTCCTCTCACCTGAGCTACAAGAACACTACTAATCCATTTAGCAAGCATTATTGCCCCTTCCACCCTCAAACAAGCACGCTACTTTCCCTCTTCGCCTCTGCCAGCCAAAGCAGGCAGAAGCAGCACAGTCACCCTCCTTCTCCCAATGCTACAATCATCCTTCGCCAAACATTCTGCTCCTTCCTCGTGTGGTAAACCTTATAATCCCCCCTCTTCGCACTCAAATATAACCCCTCTCGTCATGCTTAACTTTGACACCATGGGACCTCCCACTTCATCCCCCTGTAAAAGAATGATTGCTCAATCTCTTCATCTAATTGTCACCTTTAAACGACTGCCTTTCTAAGACCAACGCAATCTCCCACAATCACTTTAAATACAATCAAAAAAAATATTCAACTAGGTACTCAACATTCAACTTCAACGATGTTTTCATAAATTAGATAATACAAATCCCCCCTCTTCGCGCTGAAATATAACCCCTCTCGTCAAGCTTAACTTTGACACCACCTCCCACTTCATTGCCCGTTAAAAGAATGATCCCTCCATTGCTTCACCTAATTGTCCCCTTTAAGCGACTGCCCTTCTAAGACCAACTCAATCTCCCACAATCATTTTGAATACAATCAAAAATAATTAACAGCTACGTACTCGGCATTCAACTTCGACAATGTTTTCATAAGTTTTCTAATACTAATATAGTAGTGTTGCAAATAATTATAGAAATAATGTAGTCGCAAGGGAACTCAAAAGTACACCAATGGAAGGTTTTGATATGGGCAATTGGTTATTGCATGAAGAGGGAAGCTAGGAGAATCATGGAAGTGAACAGCTAAGGGGTTAAGAGTATTGCTGGAATAAAGAGACCATATTTCTAGAATTAAGAAGAAGAGTTTGCAGAATCTTTTCTTATGGTGTAAGGGTAGTCTTATTGGTAGCACAAATGAGTATATGGATTTCTTGGACTTGCTAGGGGGCAGACAGTAGATGTAATCTTTATGTTCCTTATGTTCTGATCCGCATTCCCTTTGTTATTTTTCTACTTGTACCATCTTGGTACATTCTATCAATAAAACTTTTGCCATTTCAAATAAAAAAAATTATCCCGTGGAAATCTCATGATCCAATTATGAAACTGTTTGGAGCATTTATAAAATTGAAGGTCTATGTTTTTAAGCGTACTATAAAACTGTTTAGGGGTGCATTAAGCGAGTGATGGATGAAAGGGATGCAATGAATTTGACCAAATAAAATAGTAATGCTTCCCTCCGAAATTGAATGTTTAACTTTGTTTAGTTATTTACTTATCAAAAAAAACTTTGTTTAGTTATTAAGAAAAGAAGTAGACAATGTCTACGTTTTGATTTTTAAGGAATAAGTAAGATAAACAGATAGAAAAATAAAATACATATTCGATTCGGTAGAAGCATGAACTAAGTCTTAATTCATGACAAATTTTTAAATACCTGCACCTACCACAATCCTCTCCAAACGACAAGTGAGCGGGTACTAAAGTCCGCAGCTGAATTCATATCAAAATAAAACTTTTTAAATCCCAACACATCAAAGTAACTATTTTGCATTACATACTTGAAGATAATTTGATAAAGTACATACATGAAGATAATAACCTCACCTTTAAGGATCTTAGGTCCTGCATTGCATTGACATAATCATAGATTCTATTCACCAACGGATTGAAAAATAAGCTGTTTCCATGACATTAGAAAAATTAATAATGAGTTAAATAGCACCCACAAACTCAATAATTTAAGTATCCAATCAATCACCATAACGAAAACATATCAACCCACAGGCCATAGTTTTTGAACTGCAGAAAAAGCATGTTTAATTTGGCCCAACATTCTCTAATATGTAAAATGCTTTGGTTCATGGAACTAGAAAAGAAAAAGAAAAAAAACGTAAGTTACCATGTATGCTACATATGGCATAACAGGTAGATATAATTCATACTGACTTTGTGTAGGACTTTCCATAGAAAGATACTGATAAAGACATCAGTTCAACGTATAGCGCAGAAAATAGCAATTTGAGATTTTAAAAAGAATTGAACGTTTATGAGATTACATAATTTTGTTTAGCAGAATCCTAACACCAAATAAATTGCTTAGTTTAGCTTCCCAAAATGCTATAATGTTCTGAAACAACTGTCAATTCACATCTCACAGCACTCCATTGTAACAACTGGGGCAATTGCACCAATATTTGAGAAATCATTAACCAGGTCCCTCGCACTAGCATAGGGTTTAATATCTTCAGTTTTTTGCCCTTTATCTTAATCCACTTGCAAATGCTAAGGATTACTGATTCTAGTGAACTAAATAAAGCACCTAGAGCTTTGTCAACAACTTGTGGAGGTGCAACTACAATTAAATAACCAATCAAGCTGACTTATTCTCTCTTCTTGCAGCCCTCAACCCTCCAAGAAAAGGAGCAACAGACATTTCCAACTTCTTAGTCATAGCTCTGGAAACTGCTAACAGTTTTCTCTCATCTTTTCTCATCCAAAAAGATGAAATGTAGAAACCATTTGGATAGATGAGAGAGAAACCCTGTTACAATTCTTAGAATCTTTTGTATGGATAATCAGGGTTTTTTCTTTTTTGCTTCTTTGGCTCTCTTTTTGTATGTTATCACATCATTTAGAAAGTGCTGGATTTTGACACAATAATACTTACCATTTATCAAAAAAGAAAGAAACCACTGAATAATTCTATTCATTAATACATGCTAAACTGAGTTATGACTTATGAGTAGTCATCAAGGATCCCGCATGGTGTAATCAAATGCAGCATAGCACTAACTTCAACAAGTAGAATTCCAGTTTCAGCAAACTGAAAATAATGGTGTTTACAAAAAACACAAATTCTCATTTCATCAAAAAACAGAAATTCTGTTTTTTGGGAAACATGAGTTTTAGAAATACCAAAATCATCTAAGCCTAATTTATAGCAAACTAATTCTTTGCAAAATCAACCCACCTCTTCCACTCTGACTCTTCAACTTTCAACCATTTTCCTTAAAAATATAGAAAGAACTAAAGTTACTTCATTTGAAAAGTATATGATCGTCGCTTAATCCAATAATCCATGTTACTTTACTAGTTTATTCCACATTTAACGATATGCGTCCTAATAATGATCCAAGGTCTGAGTGATAGTTTCATAAATTCTTGGGTGAACTTTTTGTTGTTAAAACATTTAGTCCAAATATAATATTATAGAAAACAGTATTTGAAATTAAGAAAAGTGCACAATTTTTCCCAAAGTTGTTTTACATACCACCTAATTAGGGCCATAACACGGAGAAATTAAGCATGGAGGTGCCACAAGCACACAGAACTTCCCTCTACATGACTGCCACCTCTTGCTACAGTCAATTCCTCCACATTTTGGTCAAACTTAAAGATTGTTCTGCATTCATTGCCTTTTCTATGGATTACTAAGCATATAATCAACACAAGTACCGAAAATAAAAGGGAAATGCATGAACTGAGCAACAAATTTGGATGTTATGTGTTAAATTTTCCTTTTTTTACCGGGTTGGCAGTCTCTATACCTATTCAGTTAGGATTGGTGTGACTGAAACCTAAGCTTTAGCAACCAAAATTAAGTTCCCAACAGCACTAAAACTTACAACCTTTCCTATGCCTTCTTTTCCCAGGAGAAGTCCAGAGAACAAAAATTAGCTTTTAGCTTGTCCACTTAGAAAAATACAAAACAAAAAGATACCTGTTAATAGTGAAATCTCTGTGCATGGAATTCTTCCAGAGAACGAAATCTTTCTGATCACATCCCTTAGGCATTTTAGGAACAAAGAGTTCCTCTTCCTTTTCAGCATTCTTTGCCACAGTATCAAAACTTGATACCTGCAGTTAGTGTAAGTAAAAGTACTTCAATAGCTTTGATTGTAAAAAGGGTTTCAGATCAGTGTTATCAAAGGCGAAAAGCACAAAAAAATTCTAAGGTTTGTTGGGGCTTTAACCGCAAATAAAGCATGGGCTTTAATGATAAAAGGTGCAAGTGGAGAAAAAGTAAAAATATGTATTTGTAGTCCAAGACTAATAATTATAAGCATGAATAACAAACATATGGACAAAAAAATAGAAAAAATTTTACGACAAAGTGAAATATCAATTGTTTAATGTCTTTTCAGGATTACACTCTCTGCCTTCTTGAAGGTAGGGTAAGGTCTGCGTATATACTACTCTCCCCACACTCCACTTGTGGGATTACACTGGTCTAATGTTGTTGTTGTTATATTTGACTGGCCGCCGATTTAAGAAGGAAATGAAGACTTTTAAAACTTGTGGTCCTAAACAAGCCATAACATTTGTGTGGCTATAATTCTTTTGAAACTTGTGTTAAACATGCCAAAGTATTTGTGTGGCTATAAAAGCTTCTCATTGAGGGTAGAATTGGAAGTTTAAGTTAAATTATTTTCAAATTTAGAAAGACATCATTCTTTTTGGAACGGACAAAAGAGAAAGGTTCACATAAGCTGGAACAGGGGGAGTATATATTTGTCGGAACAGCATAATTTGTACAATGTGAAATTGTGTTTGCGCAAGCCCAACCATAGAAGTGTATGAAGGTAGCACATTTGGTATCCCAAAGGAGTTGCACCAACCTCAATAACAGATCCTTTGACATGTACTCTACATATCGGAAACCTTTGTCCAACTATTTGGGAACGACGAAATTGCTTTTTTATCTGCAAGACGTACAATAGCAAATGTTTGAGCCCAACTACGAGTAACTGAACCCTAATATAAATGTCTCATAACAAGGTGATGATTCTAAATGCATCAAGAACCTGTGGAAGTCTTGCATTTGTGATTATATCAAAGTCTTTTGGTATTCTATTGAGAATTAGATCTCTGACACATCCACCAACCAAGTATGCTTCAAACCCTGTGTATTACAATTTGGTCAAAGGCTAACCTTCAAAAAGCGAGAGTAAAAAGAAAAGAATATGTATGATCATACAAGAAAGAAAGAAAGACATGCAAATGAAGTTGTACTGGACAAGGGTGAAAAAAAACATAGGGTCTTTTATCCAAATAAATTATTACGTCATGATAAAGTGTGTCTAGATTCACAACATGTCTAGACTCAATGAACTTGAATAGATGAATATTCAACTAATTGGTTAACACCGCTCAACCGCTACTACTCCCTTCCATTACATGCATCAGGGGTAATAGAAAAATACCCGAATATGTGTTTCCAATCCTTATGCAGAAAGAAGTAAAAAAAATTGAAGGTTATTCTAGAATATTCCTACTTTTCTCAGAAGGTTCCAGAATAGTCCTACATAATTGTAAGAGAATAATTACTTACCCTTACTGTAAGTGTAGACTACTACTTACCTTAAGTTAAGACTCCTAAGAGTTCCACTTGTATAACATCAATAATCAACTCAATAAGATCTTTTCTCTTATGTTTCCTTGCTTCAAAGCAACATACAAGAGGAATCCTTGTAAAATTCCTTGATACTTGATATTCTTAATTATGAAATAATCATTAAGAATATCTTGATGTTTAATCGTCAAGAATATTCTACCCAAATATTTTCTTGACTCTCAACAGGCCTCCTCAATCTCAAGTAGGTGAAACAACTTGAGTATGTTTGTTTTGAGAAAGGGGATAATAAAAGAATCACCTGACAAGCAAACAGTCACGAAAATCATATTATCGGAATAGGGAACAATCACTGACATGGAAAGCAAAGCTGAAAATCTTTTTTCCAGAAAGTCGTTGGTAATTGCACAACGGAAAAAAGTGTTTCTTATTTTTAGAACATTGTATATAGACAGAATACTGTACATAGCACACTTACTGGCAACAGATCTACAGGGATTTGTAGGACTTAGCTACCTTAGTAAGAATCCTCTTCCCATGTATTTAAACCACTGATTCTTTGAGTAATAGACATTGGAAATTCCTCCAATACCTTGTTATTTTACATGGTATCAGTCACATCAATATATCCTTATTGTCCTTCTAGTTATTTATGTTGACGATATTATCATTACAAGAGATGATTGTGCAGGGATTTCTTCTTTCAAATTGTTCTTGCACGCTACGTCTCATACTAAAGGCTTGGCTCTCACTCCAGTTTGCTTTCAAACTTGTCAGTTCGAAAGCAAACTTCTTTCAAACTGACAAGTTTGAAGTCGCATAGTTCTGGAAACACGTGCTCTGGAAGACAGATCAGAAGCATGCAAAGAAAGGATTAAATGCAACCAAAACTATCACCTTCACTCTGCAAAATCTTCAGAACAACCCATGCAGATGGTGGTACCATTGATCTGCTTATCCCAAAGTTCCTTGAGTCCAGCTTCCTCCATTTTGAATAGTCAATTTGACCTGAATCATAATCAGCACATATCATAATTCAACTGTTAACTCCCACAAATAATATTTTTCATCCAATCACATGTTTGTTGAACTGTCTCTCCTACACAATCTTTTCCAGCTTTTTATCTCCTACCCAATGAAAAGCAGACAAGCAGAAAAGAAACCCACTTTTGTTTTCTTTTGAACAAGAATTTGTTCTAAAGGTTTATGGAACTTAAGCAAACAAGAAACTGAGAGATAAAATATACACTCAACAGTCACTATGACTGAATGGTTCCGGTGTACAAGAACAAAGGTGATATTCAGAATTGTAACAACTACAGGGGTATCAAGTTACTACGTCACACCATGAAAGTTTGGGAGAGGGTGGTGGAAGGGAGGATAAGGAGGGCGGTGTCTATATCGAAAAACCAGTTCGGGTTCATGCCGCGTCGTTCTACTACGGAAGCTATCCACCTTATCAGGAGGTTGGTGGAACAATACAGCGATAGGAAGAGGGATTTGCATATGGTGTTTATTGACCTAGAGAAGGCGTATGACAAGGTCCCCAGGGACGTTCTTTGGATATGTCCGGAGGTGAAAGATGTGCCGGTGGTTTACATTAGGGCGATAAAGGATATGTATGAAGGAGCTATGACTCGGGTTAGGACAGTGGGAGGTGACTCAGAGCCTTTTCAGGTGGTTAGGGGTTACACCAAGGATCTGCGCTCAGCCTGTTCTTATTTGCCCTGGCGATGGACGCACTGACACACCATATCCAAGGAGAGGTGCCATGGTGTATGTCGTTCGCTGATAATATAGTTCTGATTGATGAGACGCGAGGCAGCGTTAATGAGAGATTGGAGGTATGGAGGCAGGCCCTGGAGTCTAAAGGTTTCAAGTTGAGTAGGACTAAGACGCAATATGTGGAATGTAAGTTCAGCGACGTGACGGGGGAAGCGGATGTGGAAGTCAGTCTTGACTCAGAGGTCATCCTCAAGAGAGAAAGTTTTAAGTACTTAGGGTCAATTATCTAGGGAGATGGGGAGATCGACGGGGATGTTACGCACCGTAATGGGGTGGGGTGGATGAAATGGAGGTTAGCGTCTGGAGTCCTGTGTGACAAGAATGTGCCACCGAAACTCAAAGGTAAGTTCTATAGAGCGGTGGTTAGACCGGCCATGTTGTATGGGGCTGAGTGTTAGCCAGTCAAGAATTCACATATCCAGAAGATGAAAGTAGCAGAAATGAGGATGTTGATATAGGTGTGTGGGCACACTAGGCTGGATAAGATTAGGAATGAAGATATTCGGGAGAGGATGGGCGTGGCTCCGGTGGACGACAAGATGCGGGAAGCGCGGCTTAGATGGTTCGGACACGTGTAGAGGAGAAGCCTAGATGCCCCGGTTAGGAGGTGTGAGCGGTTGGCTTTGGCAGGTACGAGAAGAGGTAGAAGGCGGCCTAAGAAGTATGAGCCGAGCTGATCAGATAGGACATGGCGCGGCTTCAGATTTCCGAGGACATGGCTCTTGATAGGAAGGTGTGGAGGTCGAGCATTAGGGTTGTAGGTTAAAGGGTAGTCGAGCGGTTTTCCTCTTTGTCCCGGTTTCCCTCTTTGTACCGACGAGTATGATAGTGTTTTGTCTAGCTCTGCTAGCGATTTATGTTGTGTTTCACACTTTTGCATAATATTTGTGTTACTGTTTTCCCATTTATTTATTGTCTCTCACGTTGCTGATATTATTTTTCGGGTTTTGTTGTCACAAATCTATTGTCTCTGAGCCAAGGGTCTCCTGGAAACAGCCTCTCTACCCCTCTGGGATAGGGGTAAGGTCTACGTACACTCTACCCTCCCCAGGCCCCACTGGTGGGATTTTATTGGGTTGTTGTTGTTGTAGTCACTATGACTGAATCACAAATTAACTGGATAAATCCTATGTATGCATTCTGCTTTATTCAGGTTTTTCACTACTAATTTGTACACAAAGTATAAACCTACTGCAACCTTCCATCCGGGGGCAGATGCACGGTAGAAGCTATAGGTTTGGCCGAATCCAGTAGCTTTGGCTCAAACCTAGGGTACGCATTAAGAAATCTACTAAATATGTACAAATATTAAATTTCGAACCCATTAACTCAAAGGGTGAGTGGGCTTAGTGGCATCCCAAACCCAAAAAATTCAAATCTTCGATCGGCCTCTACATCCATCCTCCTCTATCCAAGCTTGGACTGCCAAGCTCAAAGAAGTAGAGGTACAGCAAGAAAAGACAAATTTTAAAAGAAAATAAGTAAAAGAAAAATTGGGCAAAAGCAGAAGCTTCAAAATGCACTAAAGCTGTATAATCACCTGCCTCGATCACGGACTCAGTACCCGTATTAGCAGAAACCTGAGACTGACCTTCGTATTCAACAAATGTATGTTTAAATTTCTGAAACACATAATTCTACATTAGAGCTATAAACTGTTCGACAATATGCCTGAAAGAAAAGGTAGCATGCAAAAAAACCAGATATCCAAGTGGTACCTGCAAGGATACAAGGGATTTGAGACTCGAGAATAAAGCATTGTCTCTAGCTAGCTTGGATATCGCGGCCATTAAACTTAAAAAAACTCTACAGCACCAACGGGGAAAGACAAGGGTAAGCGGCCATTTCAGACGTGAGACCGCGCCTCTTTGGCTCTGTCCTGAGATATATGCAATGCCACTGGTGCCAACAAAAGGTGAAGGAAAAAAAAAAGTTGGCTTTATTAGGTCACATAGCAACAAGAAATTCAAAACCCCAATATGAACAAACTAGGGATTACTTGTCCACTGAGTACTAAAAATATATTTTTACCTTTACTTATCTATTTTAATAACAACTCACTAGAAAAATAAAATTCTTTTCTTATTTCACTTTATTATTAACTACTCCTTCCCCAAATTATTTTTCAATACTTTTTGAAATACTATTATTATTATGAAAATTATAAGAAAAAATATACTTCATTTATTACTTCTTAAGGGGGAGGCATAAAGTCCATTTTGTATAAACTAGTTTTAGAGTACGCGCGTTGCGCGTGTATCCAGATTGATGAGTATTAATTTTAAAAAGTTAACATAAATATTATATTAAATATTGTGTTTAAATTATAAATAAAATTTTTAAAAGATAGAAGTTCATGAAAATACTAAATGTTGATCATATTTACCTAACTCAATAAAAGAAGGAACTTTTTGTGGCTTAAGCCTTTAAATCTTTATCGTAATTTTGATATATGAGTTTTGATTTTTTGCTTTAGAAGACCGGATAGAACTAGTTATATTGACATTACATTACTCGCAATAGCATTTTAGTCCTTGTATGACCTATATATGTTTTTAGGAACTAACTTGGAAAGGCTAGCTCACCTTTCATAACCTTTCTATTTTAGGGAATGAAGAAACTAAAAAGAAGTTTGAAACGATAGCTCATGATTCATATGGGACCATGGTAAAATATTTGTTAATTGGTTCGATCAGTTTACATGATTGTGCCTATCATTCATGGCCACCTTTTTCATTTATAAAAGTGCTATTGTATATATTTCTGCTTGATAACTCTCAAGTACTTTGCATCCCCAATTGTTGATGACTAATTTTCTATTAAAAGCTTGTTTCGTTACTTGTTCCAATTGATCAAAGCTACAGTTTATTACCACAGAACTCTACATTCAAAAACTTTAAATTCCAACACGAAATATCAATTAAACGTCTATGCTAACGAAAAAGGTTGTCTTCATCACACAAATACTAAGGATGGCAAAATAAATGTATTTGACAAATAAATAAAACGTCTCCTTAGAGATTTCATCTAACTCTATTGACTAATACTTGAAAATAATATTTATTACTTAATTGAAATATTTTTTGTTATTATTAATCATTAAATTGTTCGAACAATTGTGAGATAATTTAACTAGAAGGTAAGTAATGAGCTATAGATTCTAGTTTCTTCTAGGTAAAATAAATATCTTATGAAAGAACAGATTAACCAAAAAGTTTAATATATTCTAATTTTGTACCGAAGTGCTACTTTTGGCCTATGAAGTATGAACCAATCATTTAAATACTCAATTGAATAAAATTAATTATTTATTATCTAATTGAATGTCACATCGGACTTCGAAATAGAGCTCATATGTCACGACCCAAATCTCCCTTCATAAGAGATCGTGACTGTGACGACCCAAAGGGTCATCACCTGTTTCCTCATTCATTCTGTGTTTCCGAGGCCTTGAAAACCTTATTTTTACTTGCCTCGATTTGCATGCGCAGTCCGGGCGCGTAGCCGGAAAGCTTTTATGTTGAAATATGTGAATTCTGTGAAAAATTTGAAAAATTTTGATATTAATATGTTTAAGGTTGACTTCGGTCAACATTTTTGGTAAACGGACCCGGACCCGAGATTGGACGGTCCCGGAAGGTCCGTAGAAAAATATGGGACTCGGGCATGTGCCTGGAGTCAAATTCCGAGGTCTAGAGCCCGAGAAATGATTTTTTCTGTGAAATTATTTTTCTGAAATTATTAAGGAAAATGGAAATAAAAATTGATTAAAAGAATGTGGTATCGGGCTCGTATTTTGGTTCCGACGCCCGGTACAAGTCTTAAATATGTGTTAAGCGCTTTCTGTAAAGTTTGGTCGAAATCGGACGTCGTTTGACGTGTTTCGGACCTAAATGTCTAAAGTTGGAAGTTCATGAATTTTGAAATGAAAATGATGATCTTGAGGCTTGATTCAATGATTTTGATGTTAATTTGGCGATTTGATCGCTCGAGTAAGTTCGTAGGATGTTATTGAGGTTGTGTGTATATTTGGTTAGGAGCCCCGAGGGCTCGGGAGTGTTTCGGTGGTGTTCCGGGAGGTTTTAAAACTTAGAAAAGTTGCAGAAAAATCTGCAACAGGTGCCCAGTCATTTCCTTCTTCGCGATCGCACTCTCTCTCCCGCGTTCGCGAAGGGTAACTGGGCAGGTCAACGCGTTCGCGATTGGGAGGATGCGAACGCGAAGGAGAAACACTGGGGGGTCCAGGATTTGTTCTACGCGAACGCGGGAACGCGGGAACAATGATAAATGATAAATAATGTGGGTCGGGTTGCACGCCGCAACAGTAGTATTATGGAGCGGGTTGCACGCCGCAACAATGGTAATTATGGAGCGGGTTGCACGCCGCAACTGTTGTTGATATCATGTGTTATGTCTGAATATTGATTTCTTGTTTCATTGTGGATTTCTAAGCTGTTTTAGTTGTTACTCTGGATTGCTGATAATATTGTATCTCCCCATAGCGTGTTTCCCCTCCCATGATGTTAATTACTTGGTATTCGATTTCCGCTGTATATTTATAACTGCACAGGTTTATGTGGTGTCCAGTCTAGCCTCGTCACTACTTCGCCGGGGTTAGGCTAGACACTTACCAGCACATGGGGTCGGTTGTGCTGATGCTACACTTCTGTGCATTTTTTCACAGGTCCAGGTTTTGAGGAGCAGCAGCAGCAGTAGTACGGGAGCAGGCTTTCATATCACGAGACTGAGGTAGCCTTGCAGGCGTCCGCAGGCCCGGCGTCTCTTCTTTATGTTTTCCTTTTGACTGTTGCCTCATTGTTTCGAGACAGACAGCTGTTATATTTCTTTCAGACCTTTGTATTTAGTTTATTCTTAGTGGTTCGTGAGTAATGTGACGCCAAATCTTGGGTAGAGGTTGTTTTTGACTATTCCGCGTTTTAAATTTATCATTTTAAGACAGACTTCCGCTATTGTTCTTATTAGACTTTATGTTCTATATTGATGTTATAAACCGTTAAAGATAATTGCTAGTGATGGAAAGGTAATTAAGTTGGCTTGCCTAGCTACCACGAGTAGGCGCCATCACGACTCTGATGGTGGGAAATCCGGGTCGTGACAGTGACGGCACCTAATCTCTACAACTAGCTAAGCCTAACAAATTGCGGAAATAACAAACAAAAGTAAAAACTTAATAACTAACTACAACAGATAATTAAATAACTGATAATAGTGCCGCTCGGCATGTACAATAACCAACACTCTAGCAATACACGGTATTCCTAAAATCCGGAACATCATAAGTCACAAGTTACAGAAGAACACTAGTATCTCTATACACCAGAGCCTATGAAAAGAAGTACGGAAGGTAAATGACATAGGAGGGAATAGAGGGGGACTCTGAGGTCTGCGGACGCGACAGATATACCTTGAAGTCTCCAAACTGTCACTGCTCACTGATGACGTGGCTGATAAGAAGTACCCGGATCTGTACACAAAACATGTGCAGAAGAATAGCATGAGTACACCACAACGGTACCTAGTAAGTGTCAAGCCTAACCTCGATCAAGTAGTGACGATGTTAGGTCAGGTCCCACTGGTATATAATAAATAAAGCAGAAATATATAACAATATAATAAGAGACTGGAATTTAACAAAGAGGAAAACACAACAAAAATAAAAGTACAACACACAGGGATAAAATAGCAGGGGATCTCCCGAGATACCGCCTCGTAATCTCAAAAGTAAATACGCAGGGAGATCTCCCAAGGTACCGCCTCGTAGTCTCTAAAGCAAAGATGCAGGGGGATCTCCCGAGGTACCGCCTCGTAGTCCCAAAAGTAAACACACAACTCAAACCAATAAATGCAATAATTAACAGCAAAAATTCTACAGTTAAGACTGATACAGATCAAGGAAAAACAGGAAATCAACTAGGCTTACTGCACAGAGTTCAAATAAGCAGTTAAAGCACGTAGGCATGCGATATTAGACTAAACAGGATAACTACACATGATGGTATAACTCAATTAAGATGAAAGCAGGTTACTACTCAGCAAAAAATCGGATTTTACAACAATTAGATCGTGTACGCACTCGTCACCTCGCGTACACGGCGTTCACACAGCACAACAATACCAAATCTTAAGGGGATTTCCCCCAGACAAGGTTAGGCAAGCCACTTACCTCGAACCAAGCTCAATCAATCAGTAAGATTACTTTTCTATGATTTTCCGACTCCGAATCGTCCAAGCCTAGCCAAAAGAAATTACATACCATAAATATAGCTATAAGAAACTAATCTAATTAACGAAATCAAGGCTTAAGCAAGAAGTTAGAAATTCGCCCCAAAAAGTCAACCCGGGCCCATATTTCGGAATCGGGTAAAAGTCACAAAATATGAACACTCGTTCACTCACGAGTTCACTCGTACCAAAATAATCCAAATCCGATATCAAAATCCGAATAAAACTCAAAAACTTAGTTGATGAACTTTCCAACCTTTTCCCAACTTTTCTCAATCCAATTCCTTAATTAAATGATGAAATCAACTATAAATTAGTGGAATATAACCATAACTGAGTTAACAATCGTTGCCCAATAGCTTTCTCTGAATAACCCTTGAAATATCGCCTCAATCCGAGCTCTCAAAGTCCCAAAATTGAAAATGAGATAAAACACTCGAACTTAGGCTTTTCTGCCCAGCGATTTCGCACCTACGGGCTCTTGGTCGCATCTGCGACACCCCGCGACGCCGCACCTGCGCAAAAATACATCGCAGGTGTGTATTCCACTTATGGCTAGGGTTTCCACTTTTGTGGACCAGGGACCGCACCTGCGATCCCGATTCTGTGGAGACCCTTCCGCTTCTGCGATCCCAAACTTCCCCGACCTCTCCGCTTCTGCGATCCCAAGCTTCCTCGACCTCTCCGCTCAAGCTTCCGCAGAAGCGAATCCGCTTATGCGGCCTTCATGT